GTAGTGGTGGTGTAGCCATATTGGTCCCAGGATGTTAGTGAGACAAGGTGGGTGAGGTAATATCATTTATTGGACCAACTTCTGTTGGTGAGAGAGACAAACTTTTGAGCTACACAGAGCTCTTCTTCTGGTGACCTCAAGAAGAGCTCCATGTAGCTCCAAAGCTTGTCTCTCCCACCAACCAGAAGTTGGTCCAATAAATGATATTACCTCACCCACCTTGTCTCTCTGTTCACCAGCGCAGGCTCCTACAAAGCTTGTGCACTGTACTGGCATGCCACCGGGTTGAGTCCTGGTATCTTTGTCCATGTGAATTCTGCCTCTTTCAATAAAAGCATGCTGTTGCAGTGAGGGTGTGCACCACCTGCAGCATAGGATCAAATTGTATGAAGACTGCCACGTCATCTCTCATTTCCTGTTACAAAATTAGAAGACCTCTGCCAACTAGAGTGAAAACAGCACTAATGCTTATTCTGTTTAAAGTAATTTCAAATACAGAGAATGTCAAACTTAGTTTATTGGAAGAGCATGGATAGATAGGATTGCAGGGTGAAAACAATAGTCTTTGTGACTAAAATTTTGATTTACTTGCCAGTTCTCTGGAATAAACCAAGTTCTACCTTTTTCATGCTCTTGATCTCTTGAAATTACATTGAACAAAACTTGCTTTATATGTGAATTTTTTTTTAAAGCTACATTAAAAAATTAATCTCCATTGAAAAGAGTCCCATTTCCAGATACAATTTTAAAGAGAGATTAGGTTAAAACTCATTTAAAATCCTTTCCTGTGTTACTCGTAACACATTAGATTATTAAAACAAAGTATTTTAACAATCCAGTGTGCTTCTCTGCTACTCATACAGTTTGATTTACTTCTTGCATTTCTCTCAGATTGAACAAAGAAAATCACTGAAGTCAGTTTCACAGCTGTTTATAATAAGTAATGTTCTGGTTTTCATATATGCACTAGTACAGGCTGCAGTGTTTGGTTTGTAAATCATTAGGAGGGTTGAGGGGGGACATTTAAATCTGGACAAATGGTTTTCATTAAAAATCATCCATGAAAGCATTTCTATTAAAATGTAAATTCAGGAGCAAAACTACCTGCTGCTGCCCCTTTAATTAGGATCATAACTCAGTACAATTGAAACAATTCACTGTTTATAGCCAAAAAACCTTTCCATTTTTGTATATTTAATCCTTTGAAACATTTCTACTTCTAGGAATGCTCTGTCATTAGCATGCAAAACTTCCATTAGGACCAGATTAAGCTGATTTGTATCCTGCCTCTTCCACCCTCCCATGGAGTACCTGGTAGGGTATTTGCTTGCAAGAATTCTTGTCCAGGGAAGTTGATTCTGGTCCCTGCTACAGCATCTTTGACATTTCTGCTGTGTAAAGGGGCCACAGCGGTTCCCTGGGGCAGAACCCCGTCCCCAGCCCTAGAGCAACATAGGGGCAAACTAGGCAGCTTAGCACCATCCTGTGTAGCCCCAAGTTTGGGACTGGGAGTGTATTGGTGTTAGCAGGAGGATTGGCCAGAGAGTATTGTGTGCTCTGGTTATTCTCTGCTGCAGAGTCAGACCACCTCCAATCATTCTGGGATGCACTGGCCCCTGGAACAACCGAGAGAGTATCACATTTGCCCACCCTCCTCCAACCCTCTTGGCCTTCTCTTTCTGGACCATGCCTCCTGAGACACACAGCACAGCATCTCTCCTCGGACTTTAAGTATGGTCAGAAAATGACTGTGATTAACAGAGCAATAGGCTGTGAGGCACTGCTCCAAGGAAACAGCCCTGGGGAGATGGATGGTGCAAGAGTACAGTGACCCTTAGCAACAGTGAATCCAACATGTTGCACAGCTTAATAATTCTCATGTTCTAGCGAGACAGAGTAGGACATTCTTTCTACATCTGTCTTCAAATCACATTGAACAGAGCACAGAAGGGAAAGGAGAGATGAACCAACTTTCTTAGCAGGAAAATGCTACTTTAAAAAAATTAATTAGAAAGATGGAGTCTTTTTCCCACAGTAACTAAGAAAAAGCCTTAGCTACCACCCATCCTGTGTTCTGCACTTGGGAACAGAGCATTCAGGTGAAGGTTGATATAACACTAAAGCCATAAAACAAAGCACCAGAACCGAAGGTTACTCTGTCCCCTGCTTATTGACATCAAAACAAGGTCTGAAAAAGGTAGGAAAGATCAGACTCTTGTTTCTAATAGAAGCCTTGGTGAATCTGAGCAAGATTACCACTGTTATCCCTACCCAGCCTACTCATTCCTGCTACTGCAGTGATTTCAGATGCATCAAAAAATCCTGTTTGACCTACAGAACCTGTTTTAGCTGCTCAGTTTAAAACTGGCACTCTTGTTCCACCAGCGAAGTCCCAGCCATTACTTAAGAGCCGTTTTTACCATAAATGAACACAAGAATTTAATCTATTTCTTCATTGCAACTGGCATTTGAGACAAATACCAGAGGTAGGCATCATGCTTAGAAAAAGTAATGAAGCAATAAGGCTTGACGCCATGTGTCGCAAAAATCCATTTCTAACCTGCTTTAATCTGATACAGAGCCTGAAACAATAAGATGTCTTGGGTCATTCAGTCCATTCCTCCTGCAACAATGCAAGATCATCTGCACTATTTTGTTTTCATCTAGTCTATGAATACCATTGAGGGTGTCTGTTCTGTTGGCAGATTATTCTATTCAAGTTACCTCTTAGAAACTGTCTAAAGTTCTTCTGTGTATTATTTTCCCAAGTGTATTAAATATCAGTCCATTGATATATATATATTGCATAGGGACCCCATATAGTCAAGTACAGGTGTCTCTGTGTGTCTCTCTCTCTCTCTCTCTCTTTTAAGGTAGCTGGCTTTCACCAACTGGAAATGATAATGCTAGTGCTATTTAAAATAAGCAAAACATCTAGTTTTCATTTAAGATAAAGGCTTAACATTAATTTCTATAGATGACTTTAAAACGTTTAAATCAAGTTGAAATGCTGAAGATGCTGCTGGGCTCTATGCATTAATTTTAGCAATATATAAAACCCTTGATATTAAGGGTTTAAACTGATCCACAATACATGCTCTTGCAATTTCTCTGAACACAATTCACCCATGGAGACTAATTATTAATAAAACTTACTACTGCTACTCAATCTTTTTTTCCTGTTTTTGTTATATTTGCATATATGTTTCTAGAGCTTCTGCTGCCTACATAATCCCATTTGTAATGTTGCCACCAGTTTTATCCACCTTCCAATCCCCCCTTCCTCTAGTCTGCATGTTGCTTATATTGTCTCAATGTTTGATAGCTCAGCTTTAAAATATAAAACTGATATTACGCATTCAAAGGATAATAAATAGGGAATGTTGTTTAGAGGGTAGAGCATGAGAATCAGGACTCCGGGGGTTTTGTTCCCAAGACTGCTATGTGATCTGGGGTAAGTCATTTAGAACTAAATGGTGAAGCCCTTGTACATGTTAGTGAGCACTTACTCAAGTAATTGGGACTGCTCCCAGGAGTAAGGGCTCCACAATCAGACCTACTCCTGCTTTGTGCCTCAGTTTACCCATCTGTAAAACTAGAATAATACCTCCTAAGGGTGTTGTAAAGATTCATTATTTAGTTTCTGTAAAGCATTCAGATCTGTGGTGGGAAAGTACTGGATAAGTGTGAAGTATTCTTGTTCCCTGTCACAGTGAATTCAATAACTGTGAACTAAATTACTTGAGCATCCCTGTAAAGAGCTGGGAAGTTGGCTTTTGTGGGTGTGTCAATTATATAATATACTGGTGATGTGAAAATTTATGAAGCATATTTCCAGTCTTATGTATGGATACTTCAAAGAGTAGCTGTTCTCTCTGTATATATTAAAAAAAAACCAAGTAAATCCTTCGTTATTTGTTAAAAAAATATATATTCCACTGAAACTGTGAAGAAAAGTCCTGTCTCTCTTCATTTAATAACTCTTCATAGAT